TGTCATGGTTTAATCCAAGCTGACTACACACAGCCACACATCCATGCTCTCACAACAAATGGGGAGGAGAATCAAGAAGAGCAAACCTGAGAGAACTCATAGGTGGAGATATGGACATTTTAATAGGGAAGCAAAAGCTGTGAACACATGCAGAGCAAAGCAAGGGATTCATTCACTGCTTCCCATGGGCAGGGAGGTGTCAGCCATCCTCAGGGCAGCAGGGCCTCATCATGTGTAACAGTGGTTCCTGTGATTGTCCCATCCTTTCTCCTCCTTCCTTCAGCTTTCTGTACTAAGCACGACATCTCATGGAACACCGTGTCCCTGTGGCCAGCTGGGTCAGCTATCCTCACTGTGTCTTCATTTCCCCATCCTACTCAATGGTGGGAGGAGATAAGGAACAGGTGGCCTTGACTCTGTCTAAGACCTGCTTAGCAATAACAAAATCATCCCAATATGTTCAGCACATTCCAACACCAAAAACATGGCTCCGTACAAGCTAATACAGAAAAAATTAATTCTAAGGAAAAAATTGCTTTTGTCCTTAATTCCTATTTTGTTGATGTCTCTTCAACTGGCAGCAATATTTCAGAGCTAATTTAGGAACATCCAAAACCAAAACTCAACTTTTGGTCTTCTGTTTTGATGGATGTCTTCTATTCAATATCTATTGAACATACTAAATCCACTCTAATTCCATTAACCGGAGTAAGTCTCCCTTAGGAGAGAAGTGGTTGTAGTACTCTGAATTGTGGGGTGTTATTCCAGAAATACTGTAGCTTGTGACAGATCTGATCTACTCCTTCAAGGCATGGCCTTGTGTACTTTTCTGAACCATGGGATCAAGACCTTCATCATGTGCTGATTGTTGGGAGCCTATATGTCCTCCACTCCAATGTCTCTTAGGAAAGAATTGCCAGCTGAGTTTTCATGTTAAATTGCAGCTGACATGTGCTGCAGTTGTTTGTTACTTGATTGTGATTGGCTTCCAGAGCAGTTTCCAACACTTAAAGTAAAATTTTTAATTTTCATCCCTGAACTTCCAATTTATTCAAGATATTAAGTAAATTTGAAAATTTTCCTGTATATTTCTTTCTGATTCTGAGAAAAACACACTAAAAAATTTAATGAATTCTCCTCTTGCCCTGAAGTGGAAAGCCAATAACAATACATTATACATTTAAAAAGCATTTCATTAAAGTTAACTTCAGAATATACTACTAGTTATAGATCATTTAATTGTTACGTATTAGCATAAGATATGTTTAACATTCTTTTCAAGCTTTCATATTCTTGAAATTTATTATGTCAATCATAAGCTGCTATGACATCACAAGATGAATTCAAAGCAATGATTGCTTTAGTATTTAAAATGCTTGGAGTGTACCAATTATTCAGACTGCTAAGTGAAAGTAAAAATGTCAGCTTAGCTCTCTATAATCCCATAATGTTTAAAGGTTCATGAATTACACATAGACCAGAGAGGAGAGAAGTTAGTTTGAGTAAAAGACATTTTGTCTGCAAAATATGCTGAAACCAGATCCTTTAAAATATTCTAGTGATTAATCAGAGTGATTTAAAACACTTGATTACTTAAGTCCTTGTGCTTGAATCTACTTTCAGCATAAAGCTTTTCTTATTTATTATGAACTGTAAGTAAATAGTGTGTGTAATGCTTTATAGATATTCATCTGAAAAATGTACGGGATATGGGATTTGTATTTTCCTGCTATTTAAAACAAGCTGAGAAATGCAGACACAAAAAGCATGTGTCTGAGTCTCAAAATTTATTTTGTTTGTTTTCAAATGCTGTGTCATAATGCTACTTCTGAAGATCTTAGCCAAATATTGAGGTCCTTCAGAAGTAAGGTTATGTTTCCTCTACTGGTACCAGGTAATAGAAGTAGACGAAAACAGTCTTGAGATTAAACTCAGTACTGGAAACTGCTGCAGAAAAACATTACTATAGGCTGACAAAGAACCAGGGGGCCAAGTGGTACATTCATAGAGTCACAGAATCATTTAGATTGAAAAAGACCTCTGAAGTCATCTAACCCAATTGTTGACCTAAACTGCCAAGGTCAACATTAAACCATGTCATGACATGCCACATCTACATATCTTTTAAATACCCTTAGGGATGGTGACTCAACCACTCCTTTGGGCAGCCTGTTAAAATTTCCATGAAGAAATTTCCACTAGCATCCTGCCTGAATCTCCTCTGGCTCAACTTGTTTTCTGAGAGAAGAGACTGAACTCCCCCCAC